AAAAATAAAATTAGATTTTAGAAAATATTTTATTCAATTTTTCTATTTACTATAATTATCTATATTGCCATGTTTAATATATCTATACTATATATAATTTATAATTAATTAACTTTATAAATTATAGTATAAGTAAAAAACAAATATATATAAAAAAAATAATAGAATAAAATGTGATTTTATATTAAAACAAAATGAATTTTCTATTATCATAAGATTTAGAATGAAAAAGCAGTTATTGAATATTATAAATATTAAAATTTTTCAAAAAATAGATCATATTATGATGTAAGAGGATCATTTTTTGTAAAATAATAATCAACGCATAAAAAATAATAAGAATATTCAATATTATATTATTACAATTTAAGAATCTAATATTTTACTAATCATATTAAATATAAAAAAATTACAAATATTATTTAATAAATTAGACAAAAAAGAAAGATGATATATTATATTATATATTATATACATATATATTATAATTATAATATAAATATTACATTATATAACATATATTATATAATATATAATTATACATTGTAATTATTTTTTTATTTTCAATAAAAATATTCTTTTATCTGGATTTTATTTTGATAATTTATGATTGCAATTCTTATTATTGTATAATAATCTATTGTATAATAATTTATAAAATGACTTATAATATAAAACATTATCAATTATATTTAATTTGACAAAATATTAATAATTTGTTAACTAAATCGAAATATGGAATTAACGTTCTGTATTAAAAGTTATTATACTTACAAAAAAAATTTAGATAAGATTTTTTAAAAATAGATACGATTTAAATTAATCAGTAGTCTAAAAATACAGATATATTGCTTTTATTGTATTAAAAATAATTTCATAAAATTTTAATTTCTATATCAAATCCTATTTTCGATAATTATCTTAAATATGTTTAAATATGTATAATTCTATCTTTGAATATCTTTATTTATACTTCTATTTCTTATTTTTTATTACATAAAAATATATTCTATTTAATTATGAATCAGATGAGAAATTCCTTCGTTTTAAAAAATTGTGGCCCTAAAAAGGGCCATTTATATCGATGTTTATACGGTTAAGCTTTTTTTTCAGTCTTCTTTGGCAATAAAACTGCTTGAATATTTGGTAAAACACCACCTTGAGCAATAGTTACTCCAGAAAGTAATTTATTTAATTCTTCATCATTACGGATAGCAAGTTGAAGATGACGAGGTATAATTCTGGTTTTTTTATTATCACGAGCAGCATTTCCCGCCAATTCCAACACTTCAGCAGCCAAATATTCCATAACGGCTGCTAAATACACTGGTGCTCCTGCACCGACACGTTCTGCGTAATTTCCTTTGCGAAGAAGTCTATGAATACGACCAACAGGGAATTGCAAACCAGCTCTGTTGGAACGAGACTTCGCCTTTCCCTTAGCTTTACCACCTTTACCTCGGCCAGACATGTTTTGCGTGAACTTAGAGTAAGAAGTACCACAAATGCACTCGAACAGACGTGAGAGAAATATGCCGCTTACAGGAAAAACGTATTCTTTATAAGCCAGCCGTTACGAACTCAAACCAACCAATGGCGCGCGAGCTCGCACGTGATTGGTGCGCTGCTGGTGCCACGTTTCAAGCTAAATAGCGCGCCTCCACTGCGTTCCGACATTCAGTCTTGAATTCTCACAACAGTCGAGTGCATTTCAAGTCTACGATCAAGTTGCGAAGATGCCACCTAAAGCAAGCGGAAAAGCTGTGAAGAAAGCTGGTAAAGCTCAGAAGAATATTAGCAAGTCTGATAAGAAAAAGAAGAGGAGGAGGAAGGAAAGTTATGCTATCTACATCTACAAGGTGTTGAAGCAAGTCCATCCTGATACTGGAATTTCCAGTAAAGCCATGAGCATCATGAACAGCTTTGTAAATGATGTTTTTGAGCGTATTGCGGCCGAAGCTTCACGTTTAGCACATTACAACAAGAGATCTACCATCACTTCTCGGGAAATCCAAACTGCTGTCAGGCTTTTGTTGCCTGGTGAATTAGCTAAACACGCTGTTTCTGAGGGTACTAAAGCCGTCACCAAGTACACCAGTTCAAAATAAACGCTACAGCGTCTTATAAATCATCGGCCCTTCTCAGGGCCAACAATATTCTCATAACGTTAAACAACTTGGTTGTAACTCATTATTGAATATTTTTTAACCCGAATATTTTCCATTGAATCCTAAATAATTATGATAAAAGTATGTTGTGTTGAATAATCAAGAAATTATACTCTTGTTTATATTAAAAATATCATATTTGTAGAATATTTCAAAATTTAAACAGAATTATTTCATTTTAAAGAAGCAGAGTACTTTGTCATAACGAATCATTTTGTAAATATAATAAAAATTAATAGAAAATATCTAAATCATTTTTCTAATTGTTTTCCGCGGTGTTTTGCAGTGCTTTGACTTGCGCAGTTCATATGAGGAACATTCGATGTCACGATCAATGATGTAAATTCGCTAAATACTTCAATTTCTAATATTTTATATATTTCTTATAAAGAATTCATAGAAATTACAAAAATAGATAAATATCATCATTAAAAAATTTATAGAATAGTTGCCAAGGACATAAAAACATTACATTTATTGCAATTAATATAAGTTTGATAATAATTCTTAGTATAACCTCATTCCATCAAATAGAATTTCAGGTTAGAATGATACTGATAGTTTTCGATTTTCAATTAAAAAAAGAAAATTAAAAATTATTAGAAATATTAACTTTCTGTAAGTAAAATTTTATTTACATACGAAAAGAAAAGATTAGAATTGATTCTAAATTAATTGATTTAATTTAAAATCTGAACTAATAACTATTATCCATAATATTATTCATAAGTCATTTAATTATCTTCATATTGGTAATTGATGAAATACATGGCACAATGATAAGACAAAATAAAATTTTTCAAAATATATGTTAAGTTATACAATGCTATCTAGGATTAATTTCACAATAATTTGGATAAAAAAATTGCGATACAATTCTAGTTCATAAAAAATATTGTTTAATAAAAAAATATATATAGTATAAATTTGTTAGTTAATGTATGAAGTTTATTTAATATTGATACTTATTTTGAAATTCTATCATTGATGAACCATTATAATAATGGTTTCTGTATAGATGGTTCCACTGTCGCTTCTCAACATGAAATTTGATTGGTAGACAAGATTAAAGCTTATTCGTGCACAATAAATGTAACAATAAAAAATTATTAAATGATGGAAGTTGTTTAAAAAATTATAAAATAAATTTATTATAGCTTCTTTTTAGTTATATGTTATTTATATTTTAAATTTTTAGCATTAAAAGTAGAAATTTCTTACGCTAGATGTCAGAACCTATGACTTTAACGTGCCGTCCATACTTAAATTTTTTGATGAACTAACAAATTGATATACAAAAAAATTATATAGAAAAATAATTCATAAATAAGAAAAAATAATAAAAATATAAAAATTTACACATTATATACGCTATTTAATGCTTAAATGAAATATTCAACTTAGAAACTGTATTATCTTTTTCTGAAGCACAGAATATAGAAGATTCTCCTCCTAACTCAACAAGCGAATCAATGATGACGTGTCCTGTAGTTTATACAACTCCCTCAAGTTCGGACTCTGATCGCAAACTTTTTTATCATGTTTTATAAATTGAATATTTATGAAAATCTGTCATTGTTCTAAATTCTAAATTATTTACTCTAGTATAATATTATTTTTTGAATTATACAAATATATATTATCAAAATAAATTAATATATTTTTTCAATTTTGTATATATTACAATATAAATAAATTTAAAACTTCATAAAGTTTAAAAGATCATATTTTAATATAAAATAATTACATGAAAGAAATTATTTCTCTTTTTTGAATAAATCATTAATAATAAAAAATTATATAGCTTCTTTATAATTTTAAAACTTTTATATTCTATGGTATTAGAAAGAGGAAATTAAATGAAAGATGTGTAAAATATGCTTTAACAAACTATTAATTAATATTATTAATTAGTACTATTGCATAAGAATGAGTATTTTTATAATAAAAGTATTATAAAACACATACATATGATATAAAATTATCTAAAAGTACTATTCTGAAAGAAAATAATATTATTTCCTGTTTATATAAAATTGTTACATTGTTATATAAAATTATGATTAAATTTTTTAATTCAAATTTAAATTATGATAAAACGAATTAAAGCGTAAAATAAGCAATTTTAATAAGAATATTTTTATATTAGTACTTATAAGTAATATTCTGAATCAGATTCCCTGTACATACTATCACGATCTCCATCAGAAAAAGAACAGCAAATAAAAACAATTAAATAAAATTAAATGTCATCAAATCTCATTTGAGAATACTAAAAATATGAAAGATGTAATAAAAATTAATTCTAGATACATAAATGGAATATTTCACACATCCATGGGAATTGATATTAATCCAACGATAGAACATTCGCGGTTCATGTTATACATCACTAAGCGATCGAATATCAAGCAAGTTTTTTAAGTATCCGTTGTAAGTTGGATGCAAATGATTGAATATAAATTAGCAGCAGTCCTTTTTTTACAATTTTCTATATAAGTATCATGCCAATTTTCGCGTAAATGTTTAGATTTTTAACTTTTTCTACACGATGTTCTATCGCTTCGAAAAGACGGACTTCGTTGAACGGCGCAATATTTTGCTTTAACGAATGAATATACATAAAAATCAATAAGTATATAAAAGTGCACACACGCAGCTATATTTTTGCACAACGATTACTTATTAACACGTATGTAATTTAGAAAAACAAAGCACAAAAGTAAAGGTATATTTACCGCTTCTTCGCTGTCATGGAATCGCGGCATCCGACATATTGGGTAGGACTCTCTCCATGGTCCGCGCTTAAGAAAGAACACCGCTCACAGCCAAAGCTAACTACCATTAAAGCAAGAGCATCATTGTTGGTCTAGCTACCTCCAGGCACTTTGTATAAACTTTTTATCCGTTATTGTTGAAGTAATTCCACAAAAATGGAAGACAAAGCAAATTCTGGCAGTACTGCAGTCGAAGCTGCTGAAAATCCAACGGCTCCGGCGAAGAAACCATCAAAGAGCAAATCGAAGGCACAACGTGAGAAGGCATCTCATCCTCCAACCTCTGAGATGGTTAACGCTGCTATCAAGGAGTTAAAGGATCGCAAAGGATCGTCTTTGCAGGCGATAAAAAAATATATCGCCTCCACTTATAAAGTCGATGGGGAAAAATTTGCCCCGTTCATCAAAAGATATTTGAAATCCGCCGTGACATCTGGCACTGTGGTTCAAACAAAAGGCAAAGGAGCATCTGGATCTTTTAAGCTTTCTACTGGAAAGAATTCTGAGAGTTCGAAGACCAAGAAAGTTCCACATCCAACAAAGAAATCTGTACCGAAAAAGACACAGTGGGTCGAAAAAAAGACTGTTTCTAAGAAAACTGCTCCCGCTAAGAAGCCAGCAACACCAAAGAAAGCTGCTGTCGAAAAGAAACCAGCACCAGCAAAAAAGAGCGCATCCAAGGTAGCTGCAGCAAAACCTAAAGCTGCTTCTGAAGCCAAAAGCATGTCAAAAGCTAAAAAGACTGCTAAGGCACCAGCAGCTAAAACCAGGACTCCTAAACCGAAGAAAGCTGCGGCACCAAAAACAGTCAAGTCACCAGCAAAAAAATAATTATTTTTAAATACTATCCACTACATCCAAATGGCCCTTTTCAGGGCCACTAAATCTTTTATACGAGGAACAATCTCTTTTTTATTATTACGAACAAATTATCATTATTTTATACGAAAATAACTTACTTCAGTTGAATTTTTAATTCGATTGACTTATTTATTTGAATATCATATTCAAATGATAAAGACACATCTAATTGAATGTGTTGATTATAATTTTGATTACAAATTATAGTTTTGGAAAAATATTGTGTATATACATAAATTTTATTTTGCATTGCACGTTTTATAAGATATATTTCAAGTTACATTAGAGTTTTATACAGAAGTAAAAAAAAGATGGTGAATTTTAAACTATAATGTTTCTAGCCATGCTGTACATTGAAGATAGTGCTAGGGAATCTAACGAAGGAGTGCTGCACAACTGCTCCCCTACCTTAAGCTATCGACCGATTCCCGCCAAAATAGCAGATGTTGCATGGTTCACAGTGCACATATGAAAAGAGAATATAAAGATAATTATTTTTTATATTAAAAATATTTTAACATTAATGTCATTTTCAAAATTTAATTAAAATTAAATACATAATTATATTAAAAATATTATGTTTAATTTTATTATGTTAAAAAAAATTATGTTTTTTATTTATAAGTGAAAAAATTAAATTTTTAATAATTAATAATCGAACGTTTTTAGAATTGTAAAACAATGATTAAATTTTAATGAATAATTTTTATAAA